TATGGCTATTGTTAGATGAATGAACTAATTAAGCATTATGACAGTATGAATGCGCAGTAAAAAATACAACTAACACTTTGTCTTTACGTATTTTAGCATTTTGTTTTCTAAGGTTACCTGAAGTTGCATACGCTCTCATGAGGGATCTGCCAGTAAAAGAGTTTCATACAAAACGTTTACTAGCAATAATTGAACCCAATGAAAAAATAAGGTGAGAATCTCAACTGATGTTTTGTTTATTATATGGATAATAATCTACGTACTAATCAGACCCATCATTCGACTCATACTCTATTAGATCTGAATCTCTGGCAAAAAGCTATGAAATGATGCAGAACATGTTCCCCAAACGTATGCATCCCTTCTGCTATAAAACTTCAAGAATATGGTGGAATCAACTGAGGAACCCAAAGAAAGAATGGAAGTCGGAAAACATAGAAATGAGCGGAAACTGTAAAAAGAGGTAATCAATGAATAGTGTGAACCGATATCCTTTGACAACTCGTGCACACTCTCTCATCCGTAAATCCCGTTTTGCAGATGGCTAGCAGATGATAGCGATCTCTTCTTTTCTTTCTACAAACATTATCATATAGCATTGAAATCCTACTTTACTGATTCGTCAGACGCATCGTTCACATCGTCTACGTCACCATTCGCTTATATTGCCTCTCCCGGATACCTTCATTTTGCTGGATTTTTCTTACAAAAACTAGACCTGCTCATATACAACAGGGAAGTATACGCAATAACCGGTTACAACCTTAATTCAAACGGAACCTGGCAGATGCATACGCCAAGATCGAATGCATGTGATATGGCCAAAAAGGCATATAATATGGGCAGAATGATTACTATGGGTGAATTCGTATCGCTTAACAAGAAGCCTCTTGCTCTAGAAGCTGCGTCTAGCAGGTTCGCAGAGACGATCGCTACTGTTGTCGAGCATGAAATATACGAGCAGATGCCTAACATCTGGCTGAAGGCTGTTGTTAAGAAGACTAACATGTATGACTGGGAAGGAGTATTCTGTGAGTATGAAAACCATGATAACTGTAGTAGTATGTGGGTATTTGAGATTTATATCGTATGACTCTCGACTAAATTTATTTTAGGTCTTTTTGATTTTATGGAGAATCTCATCGATTCGATAGATGAAAGGTTTGTTTTTCTACATGTTATACGATTATTGTAACTTCAAGCACGCGGCACAGACATTTTCTTATGCATTAAAATTTTCTACTTTCTTTTCTACCTGACTATAGAGTAACCATAGCACTCTCCCCTCCAACTACTACAACGACAAAGTCAAATAACTGTTCTACGTCCACTCTACCGTCGATCGTTGACATTCCATTTATCGTATCATTCATATCAGTCATACTCAAAGAATGCGATCATGCTTCATCTCTACTACGAACACTATCTTTTATATATTCGCAATTTGGTCTTCTGACAGCATCTCCAGAATATTTGCAACTACTCGTGTTAGATACGCTAATGGTTAGGGAAGTTTTTGATAAGCTATTTTGTCATTGGGCAAAGTTTGTTAGAGCATACTTTATTAGGTTGCTAGTATGGAGAGTTAAGAGAATTCATTGCATATCTACTGGGTGTGAGGACGACTGCGAAGAGTAAGTATGAACGATTTACAATTGTTTCTGCGTAGCGACGTCATGTCTATACGATACTATTCAATCGTCCCATATATTAGCGCTTACCGATCCGATTATTCCATTTTAGTGGTGAAGTCTCCAAAGAAGTTCGGAAAATCAGAAAACTATACACGCGTCGGATTGAACGCATAAATTCAACTCATGAATTAGTTACAGCGTACAAAGCACATAAAGTAGAAGAGCAGCAGGCTTTATCTTTGCATCAATCCTCGGCATCAATTTATTCGAATCCTTCATCAGCAACGTCGGCATCTTCTCTTATTTCTCATTCATCAACAAAAGATCTCACGTCAGCGTCTTATGCGCAGATAGAGCCCAGTAATCAAGAGGCGTTCAAACTGAGTGCGAGCATAGAATGGCATCTTGCATTACAGAGAGACACGTATGCAGAAAATGGACTATCCGAACTGGATAAGACTCGGAAGGAGTACAGGCTGTGGAAGCAAGCCAAAGAGACTGGTGCCGGAATGAGGAAGCACGTACCCGGCTTGGTAGTTACTTTCCCTAGAAACAAGGAAAATGATTAAGAATAGTTGAAATTAACTGTACAATGGACAATATGACACCTGTGCGATAGATATTATTTGCGCACGTAGACAAATAACAACGTACAACTAATAAAAAGACATTGAGGCTATACAAATAGAGTCTATTTGTAATCACGAGAATTTTATGACAGAAAAGGTGTCATCTGTTTCGAATACAAAAACGATCATATACTGTACATAAGACTTAATGCGCAGTCCCAAATTCGGCCAAGTCTTAGGGGCTTGTAGGAGATCTCTCATATTGTTATTACGTCTGGAACTCTTATCAGGTTGCCTCTAGAAATTGAGCATGTACTTAATCTGCGTCTGCAGAAAATTCTTATGGAACATGTGCCATTTGCTCAACGGCGCTTATGATAAGCAGAGGTGTTAGTTATATTGGTATGTGTTAATGACTAGTATTACAGTAGCGGTCCCAAGTATCTGATGGCCCTAATTCGGGACACGAATGTTGAAAATTTCCCTGCGTATAATGTATAATAAAGCCAGATTATTTGTAAAATTTCAGCCCAATCGGATGCCAAACATCAAATGTTGTATCTCTATACACATACAAAATTTTGACATAATATTATGCGCGTTGATTACCAATTATAGTAACGGTTTCTATATTCAAGAAACGTATAAACACGAATTTGGCAAGCAAAACAAAAAAAGATTATGCAAATCGGTTAGATATGGATTTTAAAGTTTATGCTCTAAATAAGCAATTTGATATGTTTTGATCTGGTTTTCATATATTTTAACATTTTCCATAAATGCAACTTTTTAAAATTCCTTTTGCTACTCAGTTGGTTAAAGTTAAGTTGAGATTTAATTCTTTTTTTGGAGATATTAATATCCAATCGAGCCGAAACTTTACGAATGATCAGGCTTTATACGCAGGAAATTTTCCAAATCGTTTTCTCATTCGTGTCCCGAATTAGGGCCGTTCGGATACTTATGACCGCTACTGTTTCCCGTCTTTTCGTCATTAAGATTCGCGCGTTTGTTTTTACTTGCCATTAAAATTAAGTTGGTTTCCAATACAGTATTTCCAAAAATACAAAGGAAGATCATAATCAGGAATTTACCTGCCAGGTCGCACAACGGTACGGATATCAAATACTATTTTTTCACTGGATGCTCAGCTGGCCTCTCCTTCATAAAGGAAATATTATGGGCCGTACTACCTGGCAAGCGTGACTTGGCAGCTAAATTCCCGATTATTAAAAAACTTATGTCAATTTATTTCATAATGCAGTTTTGTAAGCACGACTAGTAAATTATGTCGTTAACAAATCATGAGCGAATGATTGGCCAACTTTCACGTGCATGCACTTATGGAGGTTATACAATTATATCTGGGACGTGGAATCGCTTGCACGTGCAGAATATGGAGGGTGTGCACTTATGAAGGGTGCACTTATGGAGGTGCAACCGCATTAATATGTTGCTCGTGCAACATACGCACGCATTTTATACTGTACCAATCTAGTAGGACTTTTTTTTACTATTATTAGCATTATTACTATATTTTTTAAAGTCTACCAATAGGTTGGTTTCATATCAATGTTACAATAATTTTAAACATGCAACTGATAAAAACAAGTGGTAATTGGCATAAAAGTCTTAATTTTATTGAAGCAAAAAGGTAAGCTCTCAGAATATTATGAGCTATAGTTAAATATATTGTCATAAAGTGCTAGTTTATATTACCAACTTGTAATCAACAATAATTAAATTGTTTTAAAGGTTGTCTTAAGCTTGTTTCATGATATATTCTTGCTATAAATACGCCCACCGACTCTAAGTACGTGTAAAAAATAAACGTGATTTTATCAAATTTACGCTTCTAATAAAACATTCTGTATTTTCTCTACGTAATCTAACAATAATTCTGAAGTCTCCACTGTATATTGTTTATACCATAAATTTAGCATGTATCCATTACATGTCTTAACAAAAGTTTTGTTACACAATATTAATTTGGCTTATTAATTAATTATTTATAACCAAACCGCAAAGCGCAGCATTGTTTAAAAAAGAGAGAAATTTTTTATTTGTTGGAGATTACTAACAAAGTAAAGATATCATCAACTTGTCATTAGCGATCACTTCAATCCTGTTCGACAAATAGCGTAAAACGTACAGCTGACCATTGTCGAGTCAACAATTATAGGAGAAGAACCGATTGTCAACTTTGGAATTAACTATGTTTCAACGGAGCTGTGGCTGTAACGACAGTCAGTGATTTTTAAACTACTCAAAATTCTGTGTCAATTGGACGCTAAACATTGACGGTTATTCGTCCTCGAGTTAATCAACTATTTTTTTTTTTCGATGGAAAGCCTATAGGTTACAGTATACTTGATCTAAAATCCAAACCTTTGTACATAATAAGCCTTTTAAGAAAAAAACAAAAACAAATGCAAAAACAAACGGTTTTCAAATAATCGGCAGAATTGACCCTTAAATGAAATGACTTGATCGTGGTCGAATTAACGAACGTAATTATTATGCACTGGCTTAGAAATCATTTAAGCGGTCGAATTAACAATTTATAAGTTCGAACGAATTATTGAAAAGTCGAGTTATCGGCAGTCTGTATAGCTTTTCTCTTGCGCAAAAACGAAGTTATTAATGTGTTTATTTAATGTAGTATATCGGAAAATTATTGCAGCAGCGCTTCAGATGATATATTTGTTTGTGTGATACAACCCCGTGACCGCATCACATAGTTAAATACTCGCGTTTATATTTTTTTTTCAGCTTTACATTTTCAATACGCGTTACAATGGATACTTACTGTGTTTACTTCAAAGAAACGACGCCTGATAACTATCGCTTCCTGGATTTTTACCAATACCGCAGTAAACAAGAAGATTTCACATTCTCCTTTCAAAAGGAAGCTGACAAACTTCGGAAGGATTTAGATCTAATATTGAAAAATGGCCCGGAAGAGAACAAGAAGGGTGCTATCAGGCTGAAGCAAAGTTTTAAGGTAAATTTTCATTAATAATTTTTGTTGCAAAGGCAGTATGGGAGACTTCCAGTAGTCCCGAGAAGGGGTAAAACTCACACAACTACAGTGGGCATCTGCTTGTTGCTCACTTTATGGTCTGCTTGTCCGTTGTGGTCTGCTGTAAGGCAGTATGGGAGACTTCCAGTAGTCCCGAGAAGGGGTAAAACTCACACAACTACGGTGGGCACCTGCTTGCTGCTCACTTTATGGTCTGCTTGTCCGTTGTGGTCTGCTGTAAGGCAGTATGGGAGACTTCCAGTAGTCCCAAGAAGGGGTAAAACTCACACAACTACGGTGGGCACCTGCTTGCTGCTCACTTTACGGTCTGCTTGTCCGTTGTGGTCTGCTTGATATTGCTCTATTACGTCTATCTTGCATAAAAACATATTTTGCTGTAATTGTCATACTAATAGAATCATCGCGAGAATCATGATGTTAGAATGTTTTGGAATAAAATTGAAAACGAATTAGCAATCAGATCCAAAAGACAAGAATTGCGTTTAACTGAGGTTAGTTTCCTAAATGTTATCTCAGCTTGCACTTTCATATTAACTTTGATTCTGACTTAATAGATAGATGCTGCCCGTTCCGTGATGCAAAATACTGCAACGGTCCTTGAAACTGCAATTGGTAGAGTTGACACAACGCTGGTGAGTGATCTTATTGTCCGATAGAGATAATGATTGAGTTTTAGCTAACTCTTTTCTTTTTGTAGTCTGATGCCACATATTATACGCCGACACCAGTGCCTTGTAATTTACTATCGAGGTTATCGGAAGAGAAAGGTCTACCATCATACTATGAAATTCCAGCACATTGGCAACCTGAACCGAATCCCTTCATTTCCTATTCCCAAGACAGGAAACATGATCGTGAGCCTGAAGAGGAAGACGATACTGAAGAAGAATACAACGCAGACCAAACTATTATTGGAGGGGGAAATGTTTCTTGGATTGTTAATGGTCTTGATATTCGAAAAAAATTAACAGAATATCAACTGGAAAGAAATCTGCCGAAATCAAAACCCGAGTATTATGACGTAATTTTCTTCCATGCTAAAGATAAAAATAGTTTTCTAGAGACACTAGAAAAAGATACGGTTCAACAAATGCTTAAAGATATAAGCGAGGAAGAAAAAGAAATGCAAAATGAACAGGAGATCAAATCGTTATTAAGTAAAATTATTGTGCGTGATATGAATAAGGTTAAAAATACAGTTCAACAATATAAAAATTGCAACAATTCTTTTGAAAGAGGTTTTACACTGAATTTCGTAGACCACATGTGAGTCTTTATTTATTTACATTGTTCTTAATCTCTAATGGAATGAGTCTAATTATTATTATTCTGCAGGATAAAGTTGATTGAAGGGACAAATCTGCTTCTAGAACCACTGTCTGAAGGAACCTACATTGTTAGTGTTCTAGGTCCAATTTTGGATCAAATTTTTATAAAACATAAAGAGGATTGGCGTACAAAATATGGGGAGACTTGCCTTAAGGCAAACGCTAAAGAATGTAATGCTCAAAAGGAGGATGATAATCGAAGATCTCCCGGGAAAAAAATAGACGTAATCATTACTCTGAAAGAGGAAGACGAAGAATTTTCCGTCGTATTGTAAGTTCTTATTTATGTTTGATCGCCTTCTATTATTAACCCTTAATTCTCGACTTTACAGTAAATCAATTGACCGTCTATGAATTCCGTCTCAAATATGCTGAAGTGTATACAATGGCGGAAGTATTGAAAATTCCCTTTCCGAAGTCATGGAAAGATATGAAGGATTCATATGAGATAGTGACGGGTCTATTAAAATACGAGGTTTGTATAAATGCTTAGAAAAATATGTGTGTGTGTGTGTGTGTGTGTGTGAAATTGACATTTCCATAATTAGCGTTTATTATGCGAAAGTTCGGAATCCATAAAAGACTTTCTGTGGAGCGATGATAAGGAGAGCAATACCTGTCAAAAATGACCACACGAATTATCTATTCACCCACTAAGAAAGCACGAACTCATTAAAGTTTTTAGGTTCGACTTGCTTCCGTTTTTTGAACTAATTCACCTCTTTAGTCTATGTTTTAGTTCAACTATAATAATTGCAGTTTTTTACGCATATGTAATGATCATGGTATATTTGAAGTCTTGAGTTATTCATCCCTAATATGGGTCTTCGTAATACCAAGCATACTGTATGTCTGGTTAAGACTAAATGAATAAAAAGTACTTCCAACTACAGTAAAATAGTTTGATTTCGATGTCTTTTTATGTACCGGTTGCTTGTGCATTCTGCCAAATTCTCGTATCAAGAGAATTCAAGCTTTCTTGAACTTTGGCGGACTAATTTGAGAGAGTAAAATAGTGATATAGAATTTGACTTTTTGATATGGGAATTTAGAACACTTAATGTAATTATTTGGTGAAATCTCCGAAAAGATTAAAAGAGTGGATGGCTTTAATAAAACTAGTCGAAGAAATTTTGAGAATTCCTAAACCGAATTCGCTCATGCAGAATTCGCTTAAACGCTTTATAAATTCTCATTCACGAAAATGATAAAATTAATATATAGGACTATCCGTATATGATAAGTAACGAATATAATGGTTCTACTGAGTGTGAAAAAGCAATACGTTTCTTGGAGATAGGCTGCAATTGTGGTTGCTCAAAAATGATTCCGAGAGAGAAGTTTGCCAAATTACGTGAAGCGTTCCAAGCTCTCTCTAGATCTGAACAAGATATTTTTAATGGCCCAGTTGAAAGCAATTAATGGCGGAGAAATAACTGCCAGCCGACGTCTTAAAAAGAAAACGCGTACTAATAAAAGAACTTTTTACTACTGAGATCGCAATACGACTCTGTGTCAGAAAACGTATCTTAATATGTTAGGAATTGGTCGCACTCACTTTGAAAACGTCAGAAATCATCTAGCAACGAATGGTATCATACCGCGCGTTCATGGTAACATAAAACGAATGCCACGATGGAAAACCAAATAACCATTCATATAAACGTTGATACTGCCGTAAAAAATTTTCTCGAAAACTAAGCGGAAATTCATGGACTACCATGCCCTGGTAGAAATGTCAATCGTATCACTCAATCACTTACACTTTTACCAGCCGAAACGAGTTATAAATCGGTCTATCGCGATTTTATTGCAGGTCTTGAAAACGATAGTACGTTGAAATTGTTAATATGATGCATTTCGCAAGTTATGGTACCAACTAACGTCTTATATTCAAATTATGAGTCCAAGAACGGATTTATGTGACACGTGCTAACATTTTCGGAAACGGCTTACAATACAATGCTCGCAAGGAAGAAGAAGCAAGAGGCTTACTAAAAAATTCAAAGAACATTTAGTTAAAGCTAAGTTAGAAAAACTATTACAACAAGAATACGAAATTAGCAGAACAACAGAGAAAGTTAGTAGATGAGCATTTTATGCCGAGAGGTAAAGCTGATTATTGTAGCATTGGCATTACAGTTACGATTGGGCACAAAACGTTCACGTGCCCCATTCCGATCAGCAGGTAAGTACATTTATTTGGTATTCAAGATGAAGTAGTACGCGAACAAATTAATTATGTTCTTGATGAGAACGAAATACAGTCACACCTCCATAAGTGCACGCTCTTGGGACTTGACATTTGCATGCACTTAGGGAGGGTGTGCACTTATAGAACAGCGAATAGAATACCAGAAACTGTTACACAGAATAGAATTATATTTTATTATAAAAAAACTATCTTATTCGAAGTCAGACTACCTTTAAGAAAAATATGTGTCAATGTTAGTTTGACGCATTAAGCTTGTTTTTCTGACTTCAACAAACGTTTCAATATTTTGTAAAGACGTTATATATTTCTCTGCATTGTCCTGTTGTAAAAGAAAAGCACGTACTATTTCCAAGCTAGTGATTGCTGTGCTAGCACTAATAACAGGACTTTACTCACTGTCATCTATGTCATCTATGTCTGTACTTGCTTGATTGGTATCCGTAAATAGATTTACAAGTTCGTGGTCGTTGTCAGGAACTTCATAAATAATATTCTCTTCGGGAATGTTCGGAAATTCTTCCAAAGGCATTGTATTCGATAGTTTAAGTGGCTGAGGGGCGTTCGTAAGATCATTGAGTAACAAGTCATCGTGCTGAGCGTTTTCTACATTTCTAGGAAGAATCTTTGTGTGGCACCAGTAATTACGAATAGTTTCCGCGCTGATCTCACCCCAGGCTTTAACAATAAACTGTATTGCCTGTAAAATATTCATGCGTAAATCTTCCACGCGATTTCCAGCTTCTACATGTTGTAACATTAGACTTTTTTTTTTTTTAAAAAAAAAAAGGAATTATTTATAAGAGCATCAGATACGTAATATTGTACAGGCATACAATAAATGTACCTTACCGTATGTGAAAACGACGATAGTATCTTTTAAAGGTTACTATAACCCCAGCGTCCATGGGTTGAATTCGTGAGGTAGCGTTGGGAGGCAGAAAACAAACATCGGCGTACTGTAAAGTAAGACCAACTAATAAATGACTAGAACAGTTGTCGAGGAGTAACAATACTCGTTGGCCTTGATGTGTTTTGAGCCGACTTGACGATCGAAGTATCGAATCCATTCTTGGAAATGTAGTATGATCATCCAAGCTTTGGCGTTATGACAGTGCCTGTTTCGTCCATATTATATATTTTGTCGAGGGAGTAATTGGAAAAGCGTTTCCTTAATAATAGTAAAGCATTATAAATGGCGTTTTCGTCAGCAGACATAGCTTCTCCTTCAAGTTTTCGCAGGCGAATGCCATTGCGATCCTTGAACTTTTGCAGCCATTCTGATGAAAATTGTAATGCATCTCGAGGAATTTCTAATTTACTAGCAGGTTTTTTCAATGAGCATTGCATCACTTAGGACTGTGCGATGTTGATAGTTTAAAACAAATTCCTTAAGAGAGAGCTCAAGTGCAGGATATAATACGGATTTATGTCTTTTTGCATCTGGACTAACTGCCGCAATAATAATATGTCGTTTTTCTTCTGTTTTTAATATTCAAGAAATAGTACTTTTATTAACTCTAGATTCCCATTCTTTTTCCACCCAATCGACATATTCAGCTCGTGTTTTTTTATTAGTACATGCATAAAATAATTACAAAGTGCTCGCTTTTGAGAATCAGTAAGAGTAGTTCTCTTGAGGGACATGTTTGAATCAACGCTCTAACGCGACAACTTTACCGCCATTATTTATAGTAATAGTACTATTGTTATGACATCATTGTTCAATTTGGAAATGCAATATTTATAGGAAGATCTAGCCTCCGAAAACAAGCATTTCCTATAATAATAATTGAACTACCAAAAATAAGCGCCTCATTTAACTATAGAGGGTGTTTATTTTCAGTTTGTGTAACATATTAAGGTACAGTAATCACATTAGATTTTCTAGCATCTTTAGTTTTATATGGCAATTAAAAACAAACGCGCAAATCTTAATGACAAAAGACGGGAAACATTTAAAAAACGTTTAAATGATATGCTGATATAAGCATTGTAATGTGTATTTAAACAATCTCTGTTTATTCAATAAAGTTATTGTTGTGATAACGAGACTACATACGTACATATATACCCTTATAACAATGCATAAAATTTTTGGGGAGGTGCTTATTTTCGGAACTATGATATTATATTATAAGTAAATTGTTAGAAGAAAAGAGTGTTCTAATGACAATGATGGTAGATGTTCAGGGTAAGCGTGAAGTGAATTTATATGAGAAGGAAAAAAGCGCGAGTATTTAGCCATGTGATATAATCATTGGTTTGTGTCGCACAAAGAAATCGTACTGCAAAACGACCACATTTTTCTTCACCGTTTTCAATTAAGAATTACCTCGCTGTTGAGTGGTCCAAGGAGGAAAATAAGAGTAGGGTTGCTCCTCCACCAAGACTACTACATCAGCATTGTCACAGGAGAACTTTGCAACGAGTAGAGTGCTATTAGTCCGAAGACTGAAGGCCAGACAAGGATTATTGAAGGGTGATGCAGCATCAAGGTTTAGAAAGAATTTACTGTTGAAAGTAGCACATGGTAATTGATCTAAATTACGGGGGAAATAATGAGCAGAGAAAAGGGTTGAAGGTGGCGCGCATAGTACTATTGAACATTTGTAAACACCTGAGACTGCATTTTTAATGATTCAACTGTTAAACTATTATAATGTTACTATCACAGGTTGAATACGTTAATTAATTTACTTCGTTTATAAATTTAAGCAATAGTTTACGCAAAACTAGCTTCCCAGAACGAGTCGATCGACGCTTCCAGTGACGTATTCATTAAAAGACCATGGAGGGATGGTACAACAGAACCTCAATCAGGCTCATTAACAGAAATCGCAGAGTCGGCAGTTCGTGGACAAGAAAGTGGTAAATATGCATGATTTCAATAATCGGCGAGATTTCGAATCTTATAAGGTCGCTTATGAAGGCCCATTTTATAGGATGGGGTCAAGATAGATTGGTGGCAGCACGTGAAGCCCCCCATGCTATGTTATAAGGTGCTCGATGCTACATATTATACGCACACATTAGTGCGTCATAATTTACTATCCAGGTTATCAGAAGAGGATGATCTACCTTCATACTATGAAACTCCAGTACATAAGCAACTTTTTTTATTTCCTATTACCGAAGCAGGAAACATGATCGTGAGCCTTGTCAGAATCAAGTGACGGCTGCGGCGTTCCGAATCTCAGTCACACAACGGGTAAACTGCGGAAATGAAAATGAACAGGAATCAAATCATTAGTAAGTAAATTATTGTACAGGATATTAACAAGGCTAGGAAGACACTTCAACAATATAAAAGTTGTAAAAATTTATTTGAAAGAGTTTTTACATTGAATTTCATAGACCACATGTGAGCCTTTATTTACTTATATTGTTATACGGCGAATTTAAAATATCTAAAATAGCGATTTACGATTAATATTAATTGCGCTAAATTTAATACAGCTATTAAAAATGTCTTTTACGCCAACCACATAAATGATTCTATTCAATTTATGCTAGAATGTACATTGGTTTTAATGATATTTATTTATTTGTTATTTTGTCAGATTATCGCTTAAACGTATTGCAAGACATGACGAACTTAGCAACATAAATTAAACATTTTAGATGATGGAAAAAACAACCGATTGAAATCTTCAACTGGCGTTTACTGTAATCTCTACTGTGTTCTCTAATGATTATGATGGATATTCAGTCTGGCAATCTTTAGCTTTCGGCATATGCTAAACTTGTTCGAATTACAACGCTGAGAGCTTAACCCGTTGTGCGAACAATTAACGATAAAATTCACCAAGTTTTTAATACAATTATATCTAATTATAACGACTACAACACTGCTCGTACGGCAATATGTGTTCTTTATCTCTAATAAAATCAGTCTAATTATTATTATTTTACAGAATAAAGTTGATTGAAGGAACAAATCTGCTTCTATATATAATATAAAGTTCTGCAAATAGCAAAGGATGACAAGAACAATGCAATAGATTTTGATGAGCTGACTTTGATGCTGCCCTTGACACTCATCAAATGGGTAGTTTACAATGCTTTTGATAAAAAAACGGCATTCACAGTAATTAACATTAACGCAGATATTGGGATAGCTGCAGCGAGCAAAAACTCTGGCTCAAATCTTACTATCGACAGTATATGCCTCGAAATTAATGGTAATTGTACATAGGTTTTGTGTTTTATACTTTTTCAAATTTTTGTTTCTGTCTTGGTTCATCATGCGTGGTGTTAATTGATTGTTCTTGGTAATTTTGTAAGTAAATTTTTCTTCATCTAGATATTTCTGAAAAATCCATTTAAAACATAAACGGTAATTTTGCTTATTGAGTTTTCTTTGAAATGCTTCTAATAGTACTGTAAATCTTTACTTCCATAGTAATAGTTAGACTTAAATAAATAAATAAATAAATAAATAAATAAATAAATAAATATATTATTATACATAGATAACCTTATATAGTAATAGGACATGTTATAATTGTTAGCAAACAACAACTGTGCCAGTTTTAATTAAAATAAATTATATTTTTTATAACAAATTAAGAAAATTTATAAATTATGTCTGAACTACAGCTGTCTAATACGTAATATAAATACTAACCATGTGATACAGTTACGGCTTTGTGTCGCACAAATAAATCAGACTTATTATTATCACATATATAACTGACTTTCTTCGCTTCTGTGTGAGATAAAGTGCGTTCTCATCAGTTACCTCCCCTACCAGATATGGTAACGTTTCGAGTTACTAAATTTGGTAGCTACTTCCCCTACTGCATTTGGGAAGTATCGTTATTGACTAGCTCAAAATGGGTCAGGCATAAGACGCAAGCCTATTATGATGTAGGGTGCTCTAATAAGGACCAGATTTGGTAACATTTCGTTACTAAACTTGGTAGGGGAAATAGCTTAACATTCGGGGAGGTAAATTACCTCCCCTATACCTCCCCCAATTTATTACCAGATTTGGCAAACTACCTACTACTAAATATGGCAGGGGAGGTACTGATGAGAACGCACAAAAGTTATATAATCAACTGCGATAATTCGACCTTCCAATAATTCGATCGTCTTGAGTAAGACCCAATTTTTATATACTTTTACTAATCTGTATTGAAGATAAAAAAGTTGGGTTTTTTTTCTTCTATTATTTTTTTCCTGTATATAGATGTTAACATGTATACGTTACGTAATATATACGTGTAACGTTTTTTTTAAAATGGGTCGTTTTTGAGTTAAAAGTACTAGTCTTATGTTTATATATGTGACATCTCGGCCAGACACGTTTTCAAGTTAGACGAAAATGTGTCGTTTTTTGAATTAAAATTACTGATGCTGTCTCTATATTAATATATGTAACATTTCTGCCAGGCACATTGTTGGTTTGAATTAGAAATACTAATGTACATTAACAAAATTTACAGGTTAATTTATTATTATAATTACTGTTGTCATACTGTTATCTACGAGAAAAGTTATGTCATTATCAAAAACAAATAATTATTTTGTGTAGCCCGTATATAATCCTGCAAGTCAAAAGTCAAATAAAAATTCCACTAATTAATATCAACACTTTGCAGTAATGGTAAAAGTTTTCTTTTTTTGGTATGTTTAGGAAATACGACAATTTTGTACGTAAACATTTAATTTTCAGTTATTGCAAACTTATTTTAAATAGGCCACTAACGTCAGGGGATACATAAAATTCCAACGCGTCGCCATCAAACGTTATTTTGCATTAATAAATCCTTTGATCTGATGTTCGGACGAACGGTCCGAGTTTTGTTATCAGCAAAGGATTGCCCTCCACAAATACTGCCATCAGTCGCACTCTATTCAAATTGAGTTTAATGGAGAACTGTCTAAGACATCACAAATAACAGGTGGCATTTTGCGAATCAAACGCTTAAATAATAAGAGCGGGTGGTATTTTGCACACCATTTAATTTTTCTAAAAAGAGAAAGATGTGTAGTCATTTTTTGAGTTCGGACGAATTTGTAGCGCTCGTTGCTAGTCATGTGATACAATCGTCCAACAAGGTTTCGTATTACAATCATATACGGATGCGGTAAGATTGATCGGCTTTCGCAAAAACGACGCTCCCATCATCTTACTTGACAGAACTTATTTGCTTTGTACCCTCCGCGCTTCTCTGCTACGCTCGACTGTACGGCCTAGCAACACGCGATCTTTTACTTCGCTCGTTAGCCTACACTAAACATTTGACGTCCACGCACACATCCCTTTACAATGTCCCTAATAACCCGTAAAGACAGTAAGGACAACAACACAGATTCGCCACGTTTCTCCGTAGCAGCACAACGAGAGACCAACTACCTTGTAGGAAGGTTTCTCGCTAGTAATCCTGCATTCCACAAGGCATATATTGCCTATCGCGAAGTACTTGACAAGCAACCTGACCTACTGCCTACTCGAAGAGATTACACTGGTCGAGTTCACGGTCAAACGTACGATGAAGTGGTAAATGTTCTCATCTATACTTATAGATCAGCTTGAAAGAAGTGTCTGATGCTACTGTCCACTTGTGTTGTACTTCATTGAAACACTCAAGAGTGTGTTATATTGCAAATAATATGCTTATTCCTTATGTTTCCACGATGTAGACGATGCGCAATCCGCACCTTGCAAATGATCACTTGCTTACGGTACTCGATGACGTGCGAAAAGCATCCTTTGAACGCAGACCTGTCCGCTATTCGACTCTACTGGCGACCACAAGTCCTGCGTTCGCCAAATTGTCGTCAGCGGGTTGGACGAAAACAATAACGAAAAGTTGGTGCTTATGTTTACAAATGACTAATTATGTATTGAACCGTATATACTGACTAACTGTACTTGCTTATTTCATACAATTTGTATATACTTGCAGGAAACTTTCTTGTTGCGCGGCAGTTGGGGATGAAAGTACCAAGTAATGCTACAGGATTTATATACGAAAATTTCGAAGAAGTGAGTCTTTATATCTTGGCATTGAACAGAATTACGCAATAGTTTTACATTTACATTGTTATTGGCAGGTGCTAAGACTAAATGGACATCGAGCTCGAGCGTATTGTGTCATATTCGATAGGATAGGTAGACGCGTTATAACGGTATTTATGATGAACATGATGCTGCGTGTTTATTTAGCCATCAACAGTCGATCACGTTAATTCATACTCAATTTAATAGGGCAGTGACGACTGCCTCATAAAGATATGGTGTATAAGAACTGGCATTCTCATCGCAACATTACGAGGGCATTTGGGGGAAATAGTTGATATAGCGATAAATAAGAAGAGCACTGTATTGGCGAGTTCGTCAGACGACAAGACAATATTCATTTGGGATTTAAAAACGTACGCACCCATAAGACGCATTGTATTGGTAAGTGCTCATATAGTATCGCATGACTTGTTTGTTCTTTATTGAGCACACATGGGTGAATTGTGTTTCTACTACTCGCTTGACTTATTTGATTGGCTGACATTGACTTGCTATAGAATGAGGCATGTACTTCGGTCCGGTTTTCACCATCACCGGTTGCCTCCCTTCGTGTTCTACTTGCTACTAATATCGATGGAAACACCTATCTCTTTGGTTTCGACCGAGAAAACAAGAAATTCCAAGAGTCACCGCTCCCAGTTAAACCAATAAGTACTGTTGGTGTCAATAAGATTATATGTGCATCATTTAATATAACCGGGTCGCAATTTGCAATTGGCGGAGAGGATGGATTAGTCAGAGTGTTTACTTTTATGGGCGGAAGAACATTTGGGGTTGATACCGGCGAAAATGATGAAGAACTGGAAGAATTAATTTATTTGGAGGATGAAGCTCCGACAGAAAGACGTCGTTCTGGTGCTGAACACGGCAAGCTGCCACCATCCCCGCCCACTGATAATGATTTGTTTCCGACCTATTACGATGCACGTACTCCAGTTCACATTGCTGACCTCGATGGTCATAAGCAAAAAGTGGTTGATGTACAATATGCTAACATGGACAATCGTATTTTGTCAGCATCCCCAGATGGTAGTGCTATGATCTGGGAATACGACTTTAGCAGTAATCGGTGGATATCACTACGATTAAATGTAACAAAAGGAGATCCAAAGACACAAGCAACTGCTATCGCATGGTCAGCTGACGATCAGCATGTCGTGGTTGCATCAAGTATAGGCCATATCATGGTTTTCCATTCACGTACTGGACAATTACGTCATACCCTGGAAGGACACAATGCTATCGTATATGTGGCCGAAATGCATCCCGAAGATCCGTCTATCATGTTGTCAGCCGCATACGATGGCAAGGTTATAATATGGGATATACTCAGAGGGGAAAAGCTTAAAGTTTTTACAAACACAAATGAACAATTGGATGGGCGTTTCTCACCAGACGGTCGCGCTTTTGCCGTTACCGATTCGACGGGCTTATGCCATTTATATGAATTAGGAATAACAAAATTACACAAAAAGTATGACGATCGATGTGAGAGAGGACAGCAGTTCAGATATGATTATCAAGATCTGTTACTGGAAGATGGCGTAGTAATAGACGCTGGGACAAGCCAGCCGCCGCATGAACTACCGCGTGGGCCAGTATTGGATTGGGGTGGAGTGGAATATGCACAGCAAAAACCGGAATCATTCGGAGTCGATCTTCCGGGCGTATCACCTGCACAAGTATCACGTGAAGATAGAATCGGTCGTCAAATGCTGAAGGCCGAGCTTGCATTATTCAAATCAACCGGCGTTGCACTTAGCATTATGAGTAAGCAGGAACTATACAAAAGACGAAGGTAAGAAGTAATATGACAAGAGCATTATTGTGAAATGTTAATGTTAATTCCGGAATTAAATACTAAAATTCTATATTCACGGTTTCGTGTATATTGACAACTTGTAGGAGTCTTCGAGTGCATCAGGAACAAGATTCAGGGGAGGAAGTCGAAGAAGTCGATCCAATGGCCATCGAAGAACCGATAGTGCCTCTACCAAATTCTGACGAAGATCCCGAATATGAGCCAGGGTTCACTACACCCAATTCTGATACTGAAACTGATGGAAATGAGGAAAACGTGGAAGTTGATACAATATCATTACTAGGTTCGGAAGGTTCGTTTATTGTGTCTGACGACGATTCTGAGTACGCGCCGCCGACTAGTTCACGTATACGATCGAACCGATCAAAACGCAAAAAGAAAGGCAAAGGGAAGGCAAAAAACAAGTAAACTATCGCGCGTCTTCAATTGTAATGTTGATTCATTTTGTTCGATTCATAATATTGAATTGTCATCATTATTCATAGATCAAGCAAACCAAATCGTGTGGTCGAGACTCCTAAATCGGCTGCGCGCCGAACTACACGTAATAGCAACAATAAGCGAAAACGCGTCTCAATAGTTGATGACGATGACGACGATTACGACGACGGAGCAGGACCGAGTAGACCTACACGTTCATGTAGACTTCGCCGTAAAATTAACTATGCGGACGAGGACACTGATTTAGACATTCCTTCGCCACAGAAGAGTGAATCATCTTTCGAACCATCATCACCCAAAGGCTCGTTGGTGAATATACGACGAAACTCTGACGACATGTTTACCGTAGACGACGACGATGACGATGATGACGACGATGATGACGACGATGACGACGACGATGATTTTGTTTCTGAAGATTAGAGATCTTATTTCATTACATTTGCTAATTGTTCATATTTGCAATGATACTTGTTTTCATAGACTGAAGTCATATTGCTGTTGTTGTAACTGGCATTTATGTTCGCTCATCATAGAGTTTTTTTAATAAGCTTTGCTGCAGTTGTACAGCTTAATTTTCGCAGCGATGTAGCGATCAAGGCCGTTTAGCGTTGTCGATGTTTTAGCTGGAACTGTCGATAATCCCACCCCCGGAGATTGTATATGCTAATAGACCGGGTGAAACGGGAGGATAAGGAGGGTTAAAACATGTATAAATAGTATTTATATAGATCGTAAGATAATAAAAAAGTATTACAAATATATGTGCTTTTAATTCAGAACTTACGTGCTTCAGCTTCGGGCATGTCTGGTGAATCGTAAACTTTGGCGATACGTTCCTCACCGCGTCCTTTCCGAAGATATAATCTAATAGTAGAGCTATGGTACAAAGTAGTGTCATGTGAAAAGATCTGGCTGTCTGTAACAGAAAAGGTGGTGTACGTACGCATGAGCTAGAACATGTCCGCCTATAGGTTTTCTGGGATCACTGACAAACATCATACTGCTGCCAGGATCAGATTGGACCTTTTTATATTGGTAAACTTTAGTGGTCAAATTTCGTATAATTGAAAGATGTCTTGACGATACCTGATTAGTAATATAAACGGCGACATTAAATTCCTCGGCAATTTTAACAAGTCGACTCAACATTGTATTAAGTTTCTGTTGTCGTTCAGCGAGTTCACCCCGACCCGAAAAGTCACTTCGAAAAAGTGCAATGATCGAGTCGATGACCTACGAAATTTATTTTATTATAATTAATACAGCCGTCATTTGAATTTTTTTTGTATAGATTTTGAGGATGCTTACAAGCAGTCGGTATATTCCCTTCTCTTCCGAAAACCGAGCGGCCAATTCTACAATCAATTCCATTTGATGCTCAGAAGTATATGCACGGGCAAATAGGATATTCTCGAGCGCAGCATCTTGATCAATACCAAATCTTGCAGCGATTGCCTTTATTCGTTCGGGACGAAAAGTTCCTGGCAAACGACAAAAAGAGAGAGAGAGAGAGAGAGAGAGAGAGAGAGAGAGAGAGAGAGAGAGTGTGTGTGTGTGTGTGTGTGTGTGTGTGTGTGTGTGTGTTTTGTTTGTTTTTTTTTCAGTGGAAAGTTGAAAGAGAAAACTTATTCAATGACTAGTTTACCTTCGGTATCGATGAACGCAGCCTAAACGATGATAGAATATAAATTCGGCATGTTGAGCATCGTCAGCCAGTAATGTCAAGAGAAAACACGAATAAATAGATAGGACATCGAACCTTTCCGTTAGTTCCCCCGACTGATGGTGGCAACTGTGCTACTACGCATAAGGTATGAGCGATTTGAGTTTTCCCAGTACGGAATTCGCCAAATGCTTCCGTGATCGCCATAGTGGGCACGCCTCCTTTGAAAAAAGATCAGTGTCAACTTGCGTGTTTAATTACTATTTATGGATGTCGGTTGCGGTAACATATACTTGCCACCCAGTACGCCATCTAACATTTTACTTCCGGTGGATATGTACATAACCTTGGCGCGTATCTGATAGAATTCCGTGGCTGTAATGAAAGTCGAACTCTATTGACAAATGCATTACGAATGAGAGTTTTGCATGTTTTCGTGCACTATTACTATAAAAGCATTACACGTATATGTCACGGATGCATGTAGTGATAAGGAGACCTGGAGTTTTGAAGCGACTTCTTTTAATTTTTCAACCTTGGCTTCTGAAAATCCTTTAATTTTGCATAGATTTTTCCTGGTTGTCATGGTTATTGCCTGTAATGGCAAGTAGAAGGAATCAATTCAATCGCGTCATTAGATACCACCGTGAATAAATTTAAATTCAAATACATAACCAATCTTTATGATTCAATAACACACAGCAACTCACTCGAACGGTGCAGAGGCCAGCTGCTTTGAGTCTTTGAATATCGGCAGCATTAATACCATGGTTTTGCAACTCATCTATCTCGGTATAAAAGAGTTCCTAAACGTGTGCAGTAAAGAACATCCAATTTAAGCGTTTTCTTCCCAATACAATGGTTATAACTTTTTATCAACGACATCGCAAAGACGCGTAAATTTTGCTATCCTGTTTGAACGGTAACATTATACCTCATCTTCAGACTCTTCCTGATATTCTTGTTCGGGTACTTGTTCAGCAACTTCGCTCATTATGTAGATGTAAAATACGCGTATGTGTAGTAAATAGGATTTTAACGATGATAGTGAAAGACACTCGCGAAAAAAAGTGAGGATTGATGCATGCTTTATATAGAGTGAAAGATAAAGCTGAGATTACATCGGAGCCATAAATCAAGACCAAACGTAGCCGATTGTAAAGCAGCACAAGTGTTTAGAAATGCGATAGCGTCAAGTATGTGTTACTGCATATTAACAGAAATTATATGCGTTTTTTGAAAGTATCAAACGTGCATAGTTTATATCAAATGTCAAACATTTTGCTTGTTATAACCTGCGATTGGATCAGAGCAAAGCAGAGTAGGGTATCCATATTTAACTAAATGTACAGTATCTTGGCTTAAATCTGAAAATTGATATAACGAAGTAAATACGTAGTCAATTGTTTAAGTGTTTAAAGCTAAAACACGGTGCTTGGAATAAATTTTACTTCATACTCTGTCTTTGTCTTTCATATATACAAAACTTTATTGGTAACTACTTTTAAACGATGTTTTACAAAGTGTTTAATTATTACTATTCATTGTAAAATCTTAAACACGTCATTTGTTTTTATAAAAAGCACGCACAACGACTATCCTTACAAGAAATGATAACTAAACATATACCTCCTCAGAGACGACAGTTCTTTTTATGACAAATCACAAAGACGTTGTATAGAAACCTGTAAATAAGGCCAGTTTTTTTTAATACCCATATCTCGGAAGTACGAGAGAAATACATTCATATTAAAAAGCTCTTCTTTAATCTGCATCCTCCAACTTGATTCGTCGATAATACAGCTTATTATGAGTCTAATAAGCTGATAATAAGCCATACATCCCCTTTTAAAATCGCTGAAGTTATCCCAAGATTCTTTATTCTCATCCTTGGTGACACAATATCCAGCTTCGAATATCCATGTATTGATGATCTGTGTTCGGGTATCAGGTGGAGGGTGTTGAATATCCTTAGCTAGGTCTTTAAATCGCCCTCTATAATTACCATCGGTTGGGTCGGGAGGGTGTTCAAACAGTGGATTAATAGTTGTATCTCGCATTATCTGAATAAGCCTTCTGGCACATTCGACAACATGGTTCGCACATCTTATTTGTGTGTCGTTTTTATTAGGAAGATTTATTATAATATCATTATTACTGCTGCCGGTGTTGCTGCTGCTAGTGTTCGGCCCTTTATTTTGGCCATACTTGACCAAATCCTTTCCACTTTGGACGAGGTACAAATCTAATAATTGCCGCTAAAATTGCTGAAATCATGACTTTTCATTGGTTAATCAAATTTTATTTTTGGTTAGCATCGGCTCCTACAATTATTTCGAACAATTATTTAATGCATGTCGCATGACCACATGATCGGAAATCTCAATTGGTTGACTTAGACTATCAAGAGAAAAGAAAAGGTGCAATTACTTCGACCCAGATGACTCAGTGCGTTTATACAAGATTGTACACACACGTTATCCATCAGATCAGAATTAAACATTAAAATTTTTATTGAACCGTATCATAATCATAAAACTTAGATAAAATTGCATTAAAAGTTGATACATATTTATATCATACTTAAAAAGCGACGTAATACGTTATTATTATGTCTTCTCTTCACCTGTTTACAACCTTACTGAAGCAAATAGCACGAAGAAAATGAACTCAACGTCGTCTTTGTTCCTTCGTAAGCAAATCTGCTAGATAACGGTTTGCGTACAAGCGACATAGCTAATATCTGTCGTTGATTATTCAGATAATTGGTGTTATTGGAAACCCTAAAACTTCTTATTATTATGACGAACACTATTTATACTGAAATGATTATCATGATGATTGAGTAACGTTACACGCGTTTCGAGACTGTGTTCTCTCAAAGTAGTAAGATCGTCCTGTGTTCTCTCAAAGTAGTAAAGATAGTCCTGTGTTCTCTCAAATAGTAAGTTTTTGAGATAATGATAAGGGTAATTGGGGTAACTAGACAAAGAGCACATTCTATAAATGAGGGACTGATTATGATGGGCGTAAAATTGACCAGTGTGACTGATGACGTTTGAAAAATAATAACAATAATGGTAGTGCTCATTCATAACTTATTATCTATATATGGTGCACCAACTCTATACTCGACAATAAAACCACCTGTCTTTAAAATCTTTCAGCTCAACGTAGAGATGTTTTT